TGAAGCATTTCTCAGATGTTCTGCATAAAAAGGTGAGCAGACCTGCAGCTTCTCCTCCCTCTGCTCAGACTGGGTGGTGGTGTTGGAGTCCCTCTCCTCGTCGCTGTCAATCAGCATCACCCCTCTGTCCACCTTCTCCCGGGAGGAGCCCGTCTCCTGCACGGCGTAGCGCCCGGCAGCCTCCTCCCTCAGAACGCCGTGCTGCTGCCACAGAGCCAGCTTCCTGTGGACCAGCTCCTTCGGGGCGCCCAGCTTGGAGCTCAGCTCCTCCAGCGTCCAAGAACCTGACAAAATAAAATGGCGTTAGCTTTAGACGAAGGGGGTAAAATCTGCAGAGAGGTCTGAACAGAAAGGTCAGAGTTCGTTTTCAGTCCCTCTCAGTCCTTCTTCTGCTAAAGCCCCAGATCTTTGACGGTGTGACGCTACCAGCAGAAACAGGCTGGGTGGAGAGCTCCTGCATCAGCTCCTTTCATAAATTAAATTAGGAGCTGAGCTTTGACTAGGCCATTCTAACCCATGACTATGCATTGATCATTTATTTTACCGCTAGCCTAGTTTAGCTCCGCCCATCTTCTCATAACCTCGACCAGCTTCCTCGATGCTGAAAAGTATTGCCACAGCAAGATGTAAGCACTGCCATGTTTCACCAGGACGATGGTGCGTTCAGGGTCATTTTCACTGCTGGTTTTTAGGTTTTCCAACTCCAGTTATAAGAATCAATCTTTAGGAATTAACGAGAATACTGTTTTTAAAAAAAAATGCATTTTCCACTGTACTTACAGCTGCTAATAACTACCGTATTCATTTTCTGGTGCATGCATGTGTGATAAAATATCAATACTTTACACAATTACACAGTCATGTGATTCAGGTTTCACACCGTCGCTGTTTTGGCATCAGAAAAGCGCCCAATGCCTCGACTTGGACGCTTGTGCACAGTGAACTCAGATGTACGTGAAACAGGGTGCAGACACGTCTGACCTGATCGTTGATCACTAAATAAAATGGAAGATTCATTTTTATTTGCTGAAATTAGAAGGGGAAAAAAACTGTTTAAGATGTTTGACAATAAAAAAAAAATGAAACCTCAAAATGTCAACTGTGCCTCCAGGTTAACAGGATTATGATCCAACCTTTAAATATTATGCTGTAGGTTTTCCCATTATACTGCTTTATAACTATATGCTGCGCTTGCTGCCTCATTTTAGCCTGTTAAAATCTTTTGTCTTGGTAATGCTTCGTTGACACCGGATGCGCTTTGAGCAGCAGAAACAGCCGGTTTACATGCAAAGTCTATGGTTAACACGCATCAAAAGGTCCTGCAGCGCGTCTCCATCAGCAGAAGCGACGCATCTTGAGCTTCTGAGCTTCTGAGGCGTGGGAAGCGCTTCACAAGCAGATGCTAACTTTTGCTGCTCGACGCGTCAGATCAACCAATGAGAGAAGCATCAGACGCATCTGGGCACACTTTACTGGATGCGCTTCAGAAGCATCAAAGATGAGGCGCGTCTGACCTTAATGTGGACAAGCATCAGAAATGAAGAAGCTGTCCTTGTTTTGCAGCTTCAATCGCGTGTGGAATTAGCATTAATTTTCCTCTGAAATAGATTATCTTCTTAGAAGTGTTTACACTATAATTGGAGCAAAATGAGTTTAAATATTTTTAAAGATTCACATTTTTTTATTTACTGCAGGTGATTTTAAAACATTCATATTAAACAGCAACACAGTAACTTCCTGTTTGTTTCTCTATTTCCCAGATTATTTTTATTTCCAGGTGGTTTTTGTGTTCAGGGCCCCTAAACGTCTATCTCCGCCCCTGATCTTACCTTTTATCTGAAAATACGTTGCAGGCATTTTGTCGGCGCCAGGTTCTCCTCGGATGCGCTAATGCTAGCTTGCAGTCAGACCTCTGAGTGAAGAACTGCTGCGGTTTGTTCGAGCGCTTTGGAGGCAGGTAAACAACACAGCCATGATCATTTCCGTCGCTCAGCAGCAACATCAATGTGCAGGAAATGTTTAGCGCCAAAGCAAATGAAGCCATTTAACATCATGTGGGTAAAATTTAGAAGTAAAGCTTTACTAGAACGGCCCAATTCAGAGCACTGGTTTTACCCCAGTCCATTAAGAAAATATCACAGTGGAGTGAACAGAGAAGTGCTGCAACTAACGATCATTTTGCTCATCAATTCATCTGTTAACTATATTGTTACTATAGTGTTTTCACAGAACCAAGAACAAGTAAAATTTTTCCACTTTCAATGTTGGTATAATTTAGGGCTGAAACAATTAATCAGGATTACTCAATTATTGAAATAATTGTCAACTAATTTAGTAATCAATCAATCGTTTACTGGAATGTAGAGACTCTAAAACAAGCCTTTAGCTGACAGAGCGACCCACCTTGAGAAGCAATAATACCAAAATAAAAAGAATATGTGCAAACACTTAAAAATGGGATAAAAATGTTTTTCTTCTGTCAATACGCTCTTTCCAGAACTCCTCAAGTGGAAAAGCTTAATTTTTTTACCTGGTATAATTTTAAAAAGTCTTCTATAAGGAACTTTTTGCTGTCAATTATTAATCAAAAATATAAAATAATTGTTAGCTGCAGCACTAATATAATTACTGCTCTTAGGTGGATACTCTGTCAACTAAAAGCATGTTTTAGAGTCTCTGCTCCAGTTAAGGATGACTCAATTACTAGATTAGTTAATTATTTCAATAATTCGTTAATCTGATTGTTTCAGCCATAGATCAGAGAACACTCACCTTTTCTTGTTCATGAATAAATACACTCTCACACCTTTTTAATGTAAACCTGGTGGATTGTAACCCTATATGCATATTTTAGTAGTTTAAAGCTGACTGGATGACAGATAACGCTTCGAATGCAGTCAGCTTCCGGATCAGCTTCTCTGACTGATTGATGCTTTAAAGCTTTAAAAGTTCATATTTTCAAACTCCAGCCACTGATTTAATTTTAGGGACAGAGCATGACAGGATAATGGACCCTGATTTGCAATGGAAGCAGTCCTGACGCTGCAGAACCGATTCAGGACCTTTCAGAAGGTCAAGATCAGGGCAAAAATCTGTGCCATTATTGCTACGTTCACATTGCAGCCTGAAGTGACCCACATCCGATGTTTTGGCCCATATGCGACCTGGATCTGATCTTTTCATTGGCTGTCTGAACAACACAGATCCAATTTTTGTCCGCTGCGACCCAGACCACTTGGCTATGTGGTCCTAGCCTGGTGAGACCATCCTGATCTCGCGAGCTTTCAAGGTTTCACTCGCAGATCAGTCTGGAGACTCTCCGTTAAAGAAAATTTGGAGCCGTTCACCACACGAACGTCCAATCAGCGTTGGCTCTGAGGCG